AAATGAGGGGGCTCCTGATGTGAGGAGGGACTCCGAGTGTGACAGGGGGTAACTATGATGTAAAATGAGGGGGCTCCTGATGTGAGGAGGGGCTCCGAGTGTGATAGGGGGGTAACTCTGATGTGTAATGGGGTGACTTTGATGTGAAATGAGGGGGCTCCTGATGTGAAGAGGGGCTCCTAGTGTAATGGGGGTGCTTCTGATGTGAAATGTGGGGCTCCTGATGTGAGGAGGGGCTCCTAGTGTGATGGGGGGACTCTGATGTGAAGAGGGGCTCCTGATGTGAGGAGGGGCTCCTAGTGTAATGGGGGTGCTTCTGATGTGAAATGTGGGGCTCCTGATGTGAGGAGGGGCTCCTAGTGTGATGGGGGGACTCTGATGTGAAGAGGGGCTCCTGATGTGAGGAGGGGCTCCTAGTGTAATGGGGTGACTCAGAGGTACAATGAGGGGGACGTTCCCAGCAGATTACTGCCACTTGATGGAACCGAGGGGGACAGGACACTCCTATGCTCCTCAGCTCCATCTAGTGGCAGTGATCCCCTGCGAGCGGCGTTTGCCCAGCGATACGCAGGGTTACCGCTTTATAAATCAGCCCCTTAGATTCTTCTGGAGCGTCAGTGAAGCCAAAGCAGGAATACAGCGTTATCTGCCTTGGTCATTACAATACATCCTACGAGACAATACCATCAGTATATTTCCAGCTTCAGTGTCCCTGGGTGCTCTGATGTTTAACTAGAGACTCGTTTCGCCTGAAACGCGTCTTGCACACAGGACAGGAAAAAGGACGCACGTTAGTGTGACTTTTCTGATGTCTAGAAAGTTCCGCTTTAATTTTAAAACCTTTCCCGCACTTTGGACATACAAACGGCTTCTCTCCACTGTGGATTTTAAGATGGATATCGAGGTTCCCTTGTTGTTTGAAACTTTTGCAGCACACAGTACACATGAACGGCCTTTCATCGGTGTGAGTTCTCAGGTGCAAGATAAGCTGTGCATTTCCCAGGAAGCTTTTCCCGCACTCGGAACAAGGAAATATCTTGTCTCCGATGTGTATTTGTTTGTGCGCGTTGAGGTGAAAGCGGGTATGGTACGACTTGCCACACTCGGGGCACTTAAAAGGGCGCACACTGGAGTGGGTCTTCAAGTGGGTTCCAAGGGGCGATTTGTGCCTGAAGCCTTTCCCGCACTCTGGACAAAGGTACGGTTTTTCGTCGGTGTGAAGTCTCTGGTGTATAACAAGTAGTGATTTATGCAGAAACGATTTGTCGCACTCCGAGCAGGGAAAGGTCTCGACACCGATGTGGAGTGCCTGATGTACAGCAAATTCATATTTGGAATCAAAAGACTTGTCACACTTGGGACATGGGTAAGGAGGCTTGCCCATGTGAGTGCTCTGGTGGGCGAGAAGAGATGATTGCAAAAGGAAACATTTTCCGCACTCCTCACAGGTAAAATGCTCCTTGTGAAATTTCATGTGTTTGCTGAGGGCAAATTTGTAGTTGAAACGTTTTCCGCACTCCGAGCACGCAAAGGGCTTCTCGCCGCTGTGAACTCTCTTGTGTATAGTGAGTTGAGCTTTTGCTCTGAAGGTTCTATCGCATTCTGAGCAAGACCAAATTTTCATGTGAACCCTCTGATGTGTTTGAAGATCGCATTTTCTTCTAAAGCTTTTCCCGCACGGGGAACACCGAAAGGTCTCCTGCACAGTGTGAGTCCTCTGGTGTGTAGCGAGCTTCAGTTTACAAAGAAACGATTTGTCACACTCAGAGCATGAAAATGTCTCGGCACCGCTGTGGATTTCTTCATGATCAGGAAATTCACTTTTTACATTGAAGGGCTTCACACGCTTGGGACATGAGGAAGGAGGCTCGCCCATGTGAATGTTCTGGTGCAGGAGAAGAGATGCTCGACAAAGGAAACTTTTCCCGCACTCCGCACAGGGCAACCGCTTCCTAGGAGTGTGGATTTTTTTGTGCCTGCTCAGATACGACCCTTTGGAGAAACACTTGCCGCACTCAAAACACAAAAAGGGCTTCTCGCTCAAGTGAACTCTATGGTGTGCCACGAGTTTATGTTTCAACCTGAAGGTTCTCTTACATTCTAAGCAAGACCAATTTCCCTGGTGGACCAGCTCGTGCGAACGGAGGTAGTATTTGGTCCTGTAACATTTCCCGCACTGGATACAGGAAAAGTTCCCGTCACCAGTATGAGATATCTGATGCCTAACGAGTTCCCACTTGGTGAAGAACGTCTTCTCACATTCCGAGCAAGCAACAGTCCGGGAATCTTTGGAGGATAATTCTCTGGGATGTACTTCTGGAATATTCCGGATGTCAATTACATCTGAGGAAACAAAAAATGTGTTATTACATCGTGTCCTAAGCTCAGGAGTCATCTATAATGGTCCATCATATGGTGTACAGTATCTCCTCCTCATGTGTTGGTCACATGACCTTATATTGGGGAATGGAGATGGACCTTCATATGGTGTACAGTATCTCCTCCTCATTGGTTGGTCACATGACCTTATATTGAGGAATGGAGATGGACCTTCATATGGTGTCCAGTATCTCCTCCTCATGTGTTGGTCACATGACCTTGTATTGAGGAATGGAGATGGACCTTCATATGGTGTACAGTATCTCCTCCTCATTTGTTGGTCACATGACCTTGTATTGAGGAATGGAGATGGACCTTCATATGGTGTACAGTGTCTCCTCCCCATTTGTTGGTCACATGACGTTATATTGAGGAATGGAGATGGACCTTCATATGGTGTACAGTATCTCCTCCTCATTTGTTGGTCACATGACGTTATATTGAGGAATGGAGATGGACCTTCATATGGTGTACAGTATCCACTCCTCATAAAAGGAACATTTGTACAGCTTCCTGTGGTGTCTGTGACTCACCTGTGCTGGCATCGGAGGAAGAATCCTCATCTTTAAGAGGCACCATCATCCCACCCTTTTCCGTAGTCAAGTGACCACCCCTCACATACGTCTCTTCTTCCCCTTTAACCTCAATTTTCATGTCATTAATTTTTTTACACTAAAAAACAAAAACATGGGTCAGTACGGGAACAAAAAAAAAGATTTTATAAAGATTAAAGTCTCAGGAGGACCTCTGTAGGTGTTGAACTACCTGAACAAAGCATGTGTAGTTGTGCTCTGCCCAAACGAAATCCCAGGAATACAGAGGAGGAGGAGGACATATCTCTGGGGGGTTTCCATTACTAGGCGGCTCCATCTTGACCTCCATCACTCCAACCTCAACACATTCCTCTTTTATCTCTTCTTTAACAAGAATATTTACATTCCGGAGATCTCTAATCTGAAAAATAATAAACAAGACTATCAATGTTTCCAAAGCGGCTAAAGCAACAAATCCGAGAACTGGTAACAAATGTTCAACATCCACCTACCTGATCATGGTGGGGGACGGTGAGATCTTCCTGGGTGGGATCCTGGGAATACAGAGGGCGGGGACATCTCTCATGGTGAGGGACGGTGAGATCTTCCTGGGTGGAGTCCCGGGAATACAGGGGGCGGGGACCTCTCTCTGGTGGGTTCCTCTTACTGGATCCATCTGTAGGAAACACACACACTGACTGAATACATTGTTTCTATGTGTGTATCAGATGATGGGGGATGTAGGCGGAGCCTCCGTACTGCTCTCTCCTCTTACCCGGTGATGTGAGGGGCGGCTCATTCTCCATCACCACGTCCTTGTAGAGGTCATCTGACTTGATGATGGTCTACATCTCACGGTGAAGGTCTACAGATCCTCAATCATCCATCCGTATACCAGGATAGTTTCTCTATTAATGTCCAGTACTCACCTGTGACGGTATCAAGAGGAGGTTCCTCTTGTTTGATGGCTTCCCTCATCTCGACCTCCTCCGTAGTCCGCTGATGACCCATCACATACGTCTCTTCTTCTTCTTTTACCTCAACTTTTATCTTCATCCCTTCTTCATGCTAAACCAACAGAATGATAGAGAACATGATCACTGATAACCTGAGTCTACATAGAAGTGCATCACTTTGGATTCTACCCACCGACCTGATCATGGCGGGGGACGGTGAGATCTTCCTGTGTGGAATCCCGGGAATACAGAGGACCTCCCTTCTCCATAGACCGCTGATCTCCATTGACAATTGTCTTCTCTTCTTCTTCTTCAACCTCAACTTTGGGATTTAGGGTGAAGACCTGAAAGACATTAAAGATGATGGAACATTTTTATATGTGACATCACTTCCTGTTAGATCACCGCCATGTGGAGAACGCAGGAACTGCAGGTTTTGCTCGCTGAGTCTCTATACGTTTAGCTCGGTTTTGATAGCGTCGGTGCTACGTACCGTATTGGACATAAAGAGGCCTTAAAAATCCCTCCCAGTCCCCTGAACTCTGAGCAACAATGTCTCTTATTTGTGTATCACTCGGCTGCAGATCCTCCAATCATCTCATGACACTGTCCTTCCTTCTGGAGGGTGACTACGTCTGTTCCCCATGATCCCTGTGTGTGTTTCAGAGTAGTCACCGCTCTAAGCTCCTCCAACCCCCGGGATTGACTGCAATCCCAATACAACTCAGTAAACTACACGAGAGATTGTAGTTCATCCCTGTAGGGGCGGGGGCTCATGTCTGGAAATTGGTAATGACTACACAATAGAAATGAACGGTGGTTGTCATTGTCCTCGTGGAGTGCAATGTGGGGTCAGGAACTCCCCAAAATCAGCTCAATGAAACACCCCGGAGGCTGGAGCTCATCACTGACATCTGTGCTCCCCTATGATATGAGATGGTCATTCTCCTCCAGAGACCCCTGTGTGTGATGGAAGGATGAGTCCGTTCACCTTACAGGAGACCCCCTGAGTGAGGGAGGGGACCGTTCACCTTACAGGAGACCCCCTGAGTGAGGGAGGGGACCGTTCACCTTACAGGAGACCCCCTGAGTGAGGGAGGGGACCATTCACCTTACAGGGAGACCCCTGAGTGAGGGAGGGGACCGTTCACCTTACAAGAGACCCCGGAGTGAGGGAGGGGACCGTTCACCTTACAGGAGACCCCTGAGTGAGGGAGGGGACCGTTCACCTTACAGGAGACCCCCTGAGTGAGGGAGGGGACCGTTCACCTTACAGGAGACCCCCTGAGTGAGGGAGGGGACCGTTCACCTTACAGGAGACCCCCTGAGTGAGGGAGGGGACCGTTCACCTTACAGGAGACCCCCTGAGTGAGGGAGGGGACCGTTCACCTTACAGGAGACCCCCTGAGTGAGGGAGGGGACCGTTCACCTTACAGGGAGACCCCTGAGTGAGGGAGGGGACCGTTCACCTTACAGGAGACCCCCTGAGTGAGGGAGGGGACCGTTCACCTTACAGGGAGACCCCCTGAGTGAGGGAGGGGACCGTTCACCTTACAGGGAGACCCCTGAGTGAGGGAGGGGACCGTTCACCTTACAGGGAGACCCCTGAGTGAGGGAGGGGACCGTTCACCTTACAGGAGACCCCCTGAGTGAGGGAGGGGACCGTTCACCTTACAGGGGACCCCCTGAGTGAGGGAGGGGACCGTTCACCTTACAGGGAGACCCCTGAGTGAGGGAGGGGACCGTTCACCTTACAGGAGACCCCCTGAGTGAGGGAGGGGACCGTTCACCTTACAGGAGACCCCCTGAGTGAGGGAGGGGACCGTTCACCTTACAGGAGACCCCCTGAGTGAGGGAGGGGACCGTTCACCTTACAGGGAGACCCCCTGAGTGAGGGAGGGGACCGTTCACCTTACAGGGAGACCCCTGAGTGAGGGAGGGGACCGTTCACCTTACAGGAGACCCCCTGAGTGAGGGAGGGGACCCCGCACCTTACAGGAGACCCCCCTGAGTGAGGGAGGGGACCGTTCACCTTACAAGAGACCCCTGAGTGAGCAAGGGATGACTCCATTCCCCTTACAGGAGACCCCTGAGTGAAGGAGGGATGAGTATGTTCACCTTACAGGAGACCCCCGTGTATGTGTCTAGGGGGGTTCCACCTGCCATCCCCCATCGTTGTATGATATATGATTCCAGTGCTCTTCTTTTCCTTTAAGTGTGGGCTGTGCCAGAATCCAAGATGGCTGCTTGGGAACACAACCCCATGCTGTGCAGTGTCATGTGATACCAAAGGATGTCCGCCATTTTCTTTCTTTACTGTGCCCCCCTCATTCCTCCTCCAGTGCTGTGGTCACGTGATGTTGGGTGTTCAGACGCCGCCAGCCCTCCATCCCATCGAACGATTTGCTTTTGGTTGCCGAGCGTCCTTCCGTCTGTCATTCGGCGAGTCCTCTGTCCAGGATCCTTTGGATGTACCCTTCGATTGGCTGTGACTGACTCCACGTTCCTCTCCTTGCAGGTCTTCCATGAGGATCCTGCTTGACTGGTAGAGCCGGGGATAACTCCGAGCCGAGTCTGACCTTCACATAGGAGCTTCAACCAGTTTGATTTCTTCTGTAGATACCTGGATACTGGCCTACAACTCTGGTCCTCACTTTGCTGCCATAGTAGCCTGTAGGGATAGATTTCCATTGCTGGTGGGATTTAATTTCTTTGGTGGATGTAGTGTTGGGTCTTGTGGTCAGGGCCGGGCTGAGGGGTAGGCAGAAGAGGTGACCAACTTGGGCGCTTCTGTAGAAGGGCAGAACCTGCAATGAATGCTGCTGAAGTCGTTTAGAGCTCAGGGGGGCTGCACTTTGACCTTTGCACGTTGGGTTCTAGAAGACCTTGTCCCACCACTGCTTGCAGTTATTGTTCCATCCCATCCCCTGGTGAGCTTGAGGTTTAGGTTTTCGAGTTGAGGTTTTGGGTTGAGGTTTAGAGTTGAGGTTTAGGTTTCGGGTTGAGGTCGAGGTTTTGGGTTGAGGTCGAGGTTTCGGGTTGAGGTTTAGGTCGAGGTTTTGGGTTGAGGTCGAGGTTTAGGTTTCGAGTTGAGGTTTTGGGTTGAGGTTTAGAGTTGAGTTTTAGGTTTCGGGTTGAGGTTTAGGGTCGAGGTTTAGGGTTAAGGTTTAGGGTCGAGGTTTTGGGTTGAGGTTTAGGTTTCGAGTTGAGGTTTTGGGTTTCGAGCAGAGGTTTCGGGTTGAGGTTTTGGGTTTCGGTTTAGGGTTGAGGTTTCGGTTTAGGTTGAGCTTTTGGGTTGAGGTTTCGAGTTGAGGTTTAGGTTTCGAGTTGAGGTTTAGGTTTCGAGTTGAGGTTTTGGGTTTCGGTTTAGGGTTTCGGTTGAGCTTTTGGGTTTAGGTTTTGGGTTTAGAGTTGAGGTTTTGGGTTGAGGTTTAGGTTAAGCTTTTGGGTTTAGGTTTTGGGTTTCGGTTTAGGGTTTCGGTTGAGCTTTTGGGTTGAGGTTTAGGTTGTTGAGGTTTTGGGTTTCGGTTTAGGGTTGAGGTTTCGGTTTAGGTTTAGCTTTTGGGTTGAGGTTTCGGGTTCGGGTTTAGGTTTCGAGTTGAGGTTTAGGTTTCGAGTTGAGGTTTTGGGTTTCGGTTTAGGGTTTCGGTTGAGCTTTTGGGTTTAGGTTTTGGGTTTAGAGTTGAGGTTTTGGGTTGAGGTTTAGGTTAAGCTTTTGGGTTTAGGTTTTGGGTTTCGGTTTAGGGTTTCGGTTGAGCTTTTGGGTTTAGGTTTTGGGTTTAGAGTTGAGGTTTTGGGTTGTGAGGCCGGTGCTTCCTCAACCAGCCGTAATTGGGTTTCGAGTTGAGGTTTCGGTTTTGAGTTGAGGTTGGGGGCCCATTCATGTTTTTCCATCTCCGTTTCAGCAAGCCCTAGCTCTGGTAAGGTGGATCTACCACCCCACTGAATGAACAGGGAGGGATCTCCAATGATGGTGGCAGTCATGGAGCCCATCAAGGGATTGAGCAACCCAAGATAGAGCTTAAGTAGAATATAGCCATGTCCATACAGATGGGGTGTCACACTCGATGCTCATCGCGGTGTTCCGGAGAATTCTACAGATTTTGGGATTTCTTGCTCAATTTTTTCCTTGGGTGGCCGGTAAGTAAATGTTCACTCATGGGGGATATAAGCAAGGGTAGGACAACAAATTACTGACTGATAGTGGATGTGCCAGCCTCCGCCGAGGCTTCCACTGCCAGCCATAATCCAGCGCGGTCCCCAACTTCTTCAGTCATTGGTTATTAAGACCACGGCGTCCTAACATCCAACTCTGCAGTCAATGGTTGCTAGGACCGCCCCCAGCATCAAAAGAGGACGGAGGAGTAATTTCTTCCATCCTCTCCTGGAGGCTGCTCTGCCTGTGCTGGGTTATGTCTGGCTGATAGTGGATGTGTTGGCCTCTGAGGCCGGTGCTTCCTCAACCAGCCGTAACCTAGAGCAGACCACCCCCCCTCCTCTGCAGTCATTGGTCGCTAAGACCCTTACATTTCTTAGGAAAAGGGGCACTCTGATGGAGACAACCAATGCATGGGGGCACTCTGATGGGGACAACCAATGTAAGGGGCCACTGTGATGATCACAGCTAATTATTAGTTGTCCTCAGTAGAGAGCCCCCATACATTGGTTGTCCCCATCAGAGTGCCCCTATAATACATTGGTTGTCCCCATCAGAGTGCCCCTATAATACATTGGTTGTCCCCATCAGAGTGCCCCCATACATTGGTTGTCCCCATCAGAGTGCCCCCATACATTGGTTGTCCCCATCAGAGTGCCCCCATACATTGGTTGTCCCCATCAGAGTGCCCCCATACATTGGTTGTCCCCATCAGAGTGCCCCCATACATTGGTTGTCCCCATCAGAGTGCCCCCATACATTGGTTGTCCCCATCAGAGTGCCCCCATACATTGGTTGTCCCCATCAGAGTGCCCCCATACATTGGTTGTCCCCATCAGAGTGCCCCCATACATTGGTTGTCCCCATCAGAGTGCCCCCATACATTGGTTGTCCCCATCAGAGTGCCCCCTTACATTGGTTGTCCCATCAGAGTGCTCCCTTCCATCGGTTGTCCCCTTCAGAGTGCCCCCTTACATAAGTTGCCCCAGAGTGCCCCCTTTCATCGGTTGTCCCCATCACAGTGCCCCTTACATTAGATGTCACCATCAGAGTGCCCCCGTACATTGTGTAGATGGAGAGTAAAACTGGACCAAGGAATGAAGCTTGGGACACCTCAACAGAGATATGGAAGGAGGCCGACTGTGAGAATCCATTTGGTCCAACCGATGGTGGTGGAGATGCAGAATATACCAGGCCAAGGAATGAAGCTTGGGACACCTCAACATAAATATGTAGGGAACTGTTGGAACAAACCCCGATTGGTCCAACTGATGGTGGTGTAGATGGAGAATAAGGCTGGACCAACCAATGAAGCTTGGGACACCTCAACAGAGATGTGGAAGGACCATCGACTGTCAGAATAAACCTGATTGGGCCAACCGATGGTGGTGGAGATGCAGAATAAACTAGGCCAAGGAATGAAGCTTGGGACACCTCAACAGAGATATGGAAGGAGACCGACTGTGAGAACAGCCCAATTGGGCCAACTGACGGTGGTGGAGATGGAGAATAAGGCTGGACCAAGACATGAAGCTCGGGATACCCCAGAAACAAACCTGATTGGGCCAACTTATGGTGGTGTAGATGCAAAATAAACTAGGCCAAGGTATGAAGCTTGGGACACCTCAACAGAGATATGGGGGGGGATGCTAACTGTTTGAACAAACCCCGATTGGTCCAAATGACGTGAGGCATAGAGAATAGGCTCCACCCACTTCTTTCCTTGTGCTATACATTTTTATTTTAAAATCTGCCAGACATGAAGGAAGACACGTTAGATACAATCAGCCAAATACAATATACAGGATATAGAAAGTGACCCATCGTTATTAGGAGCATCACACACATTGGTGAACGTAGAAGAGCCGAGCAAGCCAAGAACTCACCAATGTCTACCGTCACAAGAAAGAAAACCGTGTCCGGCCGGGCCTTCACCGTGAAAGCACGTCCAACCAAATCTTCCAATGTGTTCCCATGAAAGGAATTCCTTTCCTGTCCAGGAGGCCACAGAGGAAGTGAAGGGAAATCTTCCTATTGGGAACACAACCAAAATAGGGGGTTCCAGAGTCCACACCATTCCACCATTCAAAATCATGATAGGGGGTTCCCCAAGTCCTCACCACTCCATTATTCACAATCATGATAGGGGTTCCCCAAGTCCTCACCACTCCATTATTCACAATCATGATAGGGGGTTCCCCAAGTCCTCACCACTCCACCATTCAAAATCATGATAGGGGGGTTCCCCAAGTCCTCACCACTCCACCATTCACAATCATGATAGGGGGTTCCCCAAGTCCTCACCACTCCATTATTCAAAATCCTGATAGGGGGTTCCCGAGTCCTCACCACTCCACCATTCAAAATCCCGATAGGGGGGTTCCCGAGTGCTCACCACTCCATCATTCAAGATCCCGATAGGGGGGTTCCCAAGTTCTCACCACTCCACCATTCAAAATCATGATAGGGGGGTTCCCAAGTCCTCACCACTTCATCATTCAAAATCACGATAGGGGGGTTCCCGAGTCCTCACCACTCCATCATTCAAAATCATGATAGGGGTTCCCAAGTCCTAACCACTCCACCATTCAAAATCACGATAGGGGGGTTCCCAAGTCCTCACCACTTCATCATCCAAAATTCTGATGGGGGGTTCCCAAGTGCTCACCACTCCACCATTCAAAATCCTAATGGGGGGTTCCCCAAGTCCTCATGATAGGGGGTTCCCCAAGTCCTCACCACTCCACCATTTAAAATCACGATGGGGGTTCCCCAAGTCCTCACCACTCCATCATCCAAAATCACGATGGGGGGTTCCCAAGTTCTCACCACTCCACTATTCAAAATCCTGATGGGGGGGTTCCCAAGTGCTCACCACTCCACTATTCAAAATCCTGATGGGGGGGGTTCCCAAGTTCTCACCACTCCATCATTCAAAATCCTGATAGGGGGTTCCCATGTGCTCACCACTGCATGATTCAAGATCCCGATAGGGGGTTACCAAGTCCTCACCACTTCATCATTCAAAATTATGATAGGGGGTTCCCCAAGTCCTCACCACTTCATCATTCAAAATCATGATAGGGCTGTTCCCCAAGTCCTCATGATAGGGGGTTCCCAAGTCCTCACCACTCCATCATCCAAAATCATGATGGGGGGTTCCCCAAGTCCTCACCACTCCACCATTCAAAATCCTAATGGTTCTCCAAACTCTTCACCCTTTTTTGAATAACCCAAGCCTCCACCACTCCATCATCCAAAATCATGATGGGGGGTTCCCCAAGTCCTCACCACTCCACCATTCAAAATCCCGCACCTTGGAACGAGTAGACAAAGTGCGTTGATGGTCATCAAGAGCTTACCACCATTTTTGGTGGTAAGCCATTATCATTATCTTTATTACTCCCCTAAAACACATGAACACTGGAGGACAACCACCCCTCAGTCTGATTGGGCCCGGTGGGTCAGCTTCCACCAGTGTGGGCCCGATATGTACAGAGAATGCCAAGTCTCAAAAGCTTTACAGTAGATACCTTGGATGCTCCTAAAGAGTTTTTAAGTGATTACCGAGTCCGGACACATCACCAAGTGGCCTCAACCCAACGGAGAGGGCCGTCGTCAGACAGTCCTGAGCACGAGCCCCC